GAGAGAGAGAGAGAGAGAGAGGAAGAGAGAGCGAGGGTGCAGTTGCATTTGGTGGTGCGGCGCGAGGGCCCCGAGGCGATCCCAGATGGCAGCTCGGCTACTCCGAGCCACGGCGGACGCGGACGAGGTGCAGCTAGAGACAAAAAGAGCTACAACTTTAGGCTCAGGCCCGAGCGGAGGAGACAGGCGGTCAAGGCACGACGACAAAGGCGAAGCGCCTCACCAAAGAGGGTTTTGGCACAGGCGGATGCAAGCGAGACGGTAAAGTGGCCGAGCGAGCGGGGGTGGCTCTGCGAGGTTGCGAGGCTGCGTCCGAGTCGGGGCAAACGGCGGGCGAGCGTGTGTGGGCAGTTGGCGAGCAGGCACGAGCGCGTCCGTCGGGCGATCTGGTGATGCGGCCCAAAATTGAGCTTCAATCCGAGCCAGGGTCAGCCTCAGCGGCAGCACCAGCGACAGCAGGGTGCAGTCGATTCAAATTTGCAGAGTCCACCCTTGGCTGACGTGCACCAGGCACGTCCGTCGTCCCCACGCTTCCGCCGTGGGTGCGCGTGGGTGTCTAGGATCCTTCTGTCGGCAAAGCCGAGCGTTTATTGTGCCTTTCCCACTCACGCTGCTCTGGCGAAACTCAAAAATCAACCGTGTGACCAGCTTCAGCACGCTCCGGTTGCTTTCGAAGCCGGCTGTGTCTCCTCGGTCGTCAGGCCAAGCACGCCGGATGGCATCCGAACAACGTTGAGAAGCGCATCGCATGTGCGGAGCCCAACTTGCCAGAGTCAGAGCCAAAAGGAAAAAGCAGCGCTAGTGTATGGTTGCTGTCGGTGGCACGGTGGGCCGCTGTGGTGCAGGGCAGAGTGCAGAGCGCAGATCGGTGGGCCGCATCACGCATGCAGAGGGAGCCACAGCCAAAAGCGACACACTGTACGGTCGGGATGCCAAGCGGCTGCAGCTCGCTCGGGGTGATGTGCGTGGTGCAGCTTCCCTTCCTCGGCCTTGCTACCCGCGGTTGTGGGTGATTTTTTCCATTCAATTTGCAAAATGCGGAAACGTCGGCAGGTCTCTCTCGAGATGCTATTTGTTTGCGAGCATAAACCGTACTGTACAAGGAGCGAACGGATCGCTTGCGCCATTGCACCTCTCTTCGTCCTTCATCTGCCTGGGGCGTTTGGCGTTGAAACCCAAGAGGTCCGATCGCGCTTCACCCTCGCTGCCATCTGACGTGGAAGTGTCTCCAAACCCGGTCTTGAGAGATGGCAAAAAAGTGTTGGGCGCTAGGGCGTTTGACGTGGGCGTCGGTCGATTCTGAGCTGCCTCCTCCATCCCTGCCTCTTGGCCCTGTCTCCAATTCTAGCCCCACAACCCACCTCCGAGTTCTGCATGCACCGCCATCATAAACCCTTTCCCTCGAACCGATTCGTGAGCTGTGGATCGAGACGCGATGAGATCTCGACACCAGACTTCACGTCACGTCGGATGCGGCCGCACAGGCACACATCTGAAACCCGCTTGCCAGCACCGGAGTTTCAAT